TAAAAACAAGTATAAAAGTACAATATGTGGAACTTGAAGAAGATTGTGACTGATGAGGACGCTAGCTAATGTAAGAAAAAGTGTCCTCCGAAACACTGCTCAACTAGAAACGAGGAATCCTCGTGTAGTACCCGCGGGAGGGAAGAGACGAGGTAGTGCGTGCGGATGTGGAGCGGGTGAAGGAGGAGGTGGAAAAGGAAAAGGGGGGGAGAAAAAAAAAAAGATGTTGAAATGAAGTCCAATAAAAGAGCCGAGTGAACATCTGTGTGGGATAGCCGTGGGGATTAGGAGGGTTTGGAACATTTTAAGCGCATTAAAGATTTTAAAAAAGGGTCAGAATGTTTAGCAACATACTGATAAACCTCTTAAGCGAAACCCAATTGGGGAGGTTGCTTGGGTTTCTTTATCCAGAGGCTAGTAGATGGGGGAAGGGGTGTGTGTGGTTTTGGGGGTTCAAGAGGCTGAGAAAATTGAAAGTGGGGGAGACATACACATGAATGTAATGCTCCGCATTTTTCATTAGGCACACTTGCAGAATCGAGTGAGATCCAATGCGCAAGAGATCCGACTTCACGGAGGAAAGCATCTTCCGTTGCGATTTTTTTTTTCCCCCTGCACGAGTCCCTTGATGAGCTAGCGGCAAAATATTAAACGCGACTGCAAAGTGCCACCGCGACCCTTGTGCAACACACTCTTGGCACACAGAGGCTCATACTCGGATGGCGCTGCCCGATCTGCGTCGGTGATTGTTTTCGAATGCCCGACCATACGCGCGAGAGGCTCAGATGCCTGCAAAATCCCACTTTGTGCTTGAACGATTCCATCACATCTGGCCGCAGACGTGTGGACAACAACACCGCGACTGGATTTCCCGCATTGAACCGGTGTCTGATACTGAGCTGTTGCCGGTCCCCCACGTCCGACGGGGCTCGGAGCAACAAGCCTCCACGCCGTAACTCATCCAGACAGATGAATGAGGCAGCCCGAGAGAATGGCGGAGGGAAGACGGAGATGAAGTGGGAGAGAACAGTGGCGCAGGAGCTTTCAAGCAGTCCGAGGTGGAGGCCCCTGTCATTCGACTGCGAAGTGAACCACGACCGCGTCGGCACGGCGAGCCCGAAATGACACCGCAGAGGCTCGCTGACAAAACCAAAAGTTGGACGGTCGCAGCGTCGCAGTTGCCGTTTGCATGTTTGCATATGAGAACCGAGGGCTTCTTGTAAACCGTTTCTAAATGGCGCGGCAGCACTTCCATCAATTTTCGGGACGTGTCCCGATGCACAAAGCGCAGGGGTCAGAAGGTCGGGCTTGAAGGAGCTCAGACCTACTGTGTCGTGTCTTCTTTTTTTAGAAGATACGTGTGTCCAAGTGCGGCCCGACTAATATTGATGTCGCAGAAAGCTGTGGCCGCAATCATTTTACGGTTGCGCAACACCTTTATTGTTTCAAGGTTGACGCTAAGAAGCGACCAACGCTTGTTGCGTGGCTCTTAGCCAAACCTGCAAACACTTTCAACACAAACATTCCAATTCAATGCCATGACATGTTCAAGTGCCAAAAGCAGCAACGCAATTTTGGCACTTTTTTTTTTTTTTTTGCAATCATGGACAACTAGCACAAGAGGAAGATTCTTTGTCTTTTCCTTGATTGCACTCGCGTGTCGTCTGTTCAAAAAATAAATCAACTGCCACCGTCAAGGCGCATTAGTTCACGGGTGCGTTTGCGCGTGAGTGCTTGTGATGTGCAAGCACTCAAGAAAACCTTTCGTGGGGGAAGAAATAAATAAATCAAAAATGAAAAGCCATTTGTGTCGTCGGCACTCGTACTGTATGAATGCGAACGCGCTAAATGCCTCCATTAGCGCTAACAATGGCTGCCCGTGAGTGATGGCTGTTTGTTTTTTTACAAGTTCAAGTGTCTCTGAATGATTTACCCCGGCGCCTGTGTGTCATTGCGTGATGATTTTTTTTTTTTTTTTAATGCTTTTGTGGCAGCCGGGGGGTGTATCCATTTATCCAGGTGTGCGTTTTAGCCTTTGCGACGTGAAAATTGTCTCACCATGTGTTGCTGTTAACCTTTGTTTACAAGTGTGAGGAGGAGTCTATCAGCGGGCGTACACCGTATTGACCGGGGCAGCATAATGTGTGTGGTAAGCGTGATAACGCCGCGTATTTGGTGGCCTGCGTGTGTTTGTGTATTATCTTCGGAGGGGCATTACCAGGGGGCCTCGGGGCGACTGTGTGCACTAGATAAGGGTGATTCATCTGTGTTTCAATGTGTGTGTGTGTGTAATCGCGTTTTTTTTTTTTTGCAAGGAAATGAATCTATGTTGTGTATGAACGCGTGCTAATAAATGCTCTCGGGGTTACATGCACCTCCGTGCTGTGTGTGTGTGTGTGTGTGTGTGTGTGTGTGTGCGCGCACATGTTTGTGTAATAGGTGATTGTTGCCGACGAACGGGCCGGTGCGTATGAGATGCTTTTTTGGCAGTGGTTTTCCCCTGCCGGTGGTCGACGGAGCATGCGCCGGAGCAAGGTGCTCATCACAAAACATTGTTCATCTGGACAGAGGAGTGTCTGGGCACACTCCGCCTCCCACTTGGAGCCCTCGATGGCTCTCCTTGTACCTCTTTCAAGTTGTGCAGATCGTAAAACCCGCTTTGAATACCGGTACCGTAGCAACACAGGACTGGTGGGAGGGCTGGGGGGGCTATTTGAAACTTCTTCGGCAGACATTATGTCTCGTGAAAGTTTTACATCGCTGATATATGTTGGCTTCGCATTTTTTTGAACTATGTTAAACTTTGCCTTTGCAAAATTGCTGAACTCTTTCACAGAATTTCAGCTGCATTTAGGTCTGGGCTTTGGCTACGCTTTTCCTGGTGAAGCTCTTCTTTTGTGGTTGAGAGGAAATAAATTTCATCTGTGCTGTATGTTGTACATGGAGCACAAGAAATCTGACTCGACTTGACTTGAATCGAATTGATTTTGGCGGTCCAATCTTGCCCTCTTCCTGGTGCAAGGATTATCGTAACGCACGAGCTCATCAGAAATATTTTGTTCATCTACAGCAGGGCTCCCCAAACTTTTTCCTGTGAGGGCCAAAGAACTTTTGCCTTCTCTGACGGCGGCCGGGGTCAGTTTGCAACAAAAAATGTGACCATCACAGAGGTGTCAACGTTGATTGCTTTCCAAAAAGTCACACAAAACCAAATACGAAACCTTTATTGGGATCTGGACAGGAAAAAAAAAAAAAGACTGCGCAACATCGACTTTCTTGGAGCTATAGAATGTTAGGTTCTATGCATGCTCAAGTCTTGATCATGTGGCCAGAGTTGAAAATGATGAGTATGCCGGACGGAGCGAGTTTTCATTCAACTTTTGCTTTTATGACAACTCGGACCTCGCAGGACTTGCAGTCAAGCATCCCGCTGCAGTCCATTAACAATACATATATGCCATCATTTTTATCTTTAAGACCACTGGGTCTGTGTGAAACAAAAACAGCATGCGCATGTGTGCGTGGGGGCGTGTGTGTGTGTGTGTGTGTGTGTGTGTGTGTGTGTGTGTGTGTGTGTGTGTGTGTGTGTGTGTGTGTGTGTGTGTGTGTGTGTGTTGGTTTGGGGGTGCCGTCAGCTAGCAGGAATGCATGGGTACCGCCAAACCTAAGATGGCTGCCAAGTGCTAAGATGGCTGCCAGGATGCTGCGGAGCGACAGCATGATAGATAAAGAAAAACGGAGGACGACGGCGGGCGATAGGAAATGAGGAAAATGTTGTGCCGTTGGACCGCGGGAGGGCATCGCGGTCAAAATGTCCCAAATCTCCCTTGGCTTCTCCTCCCTGACCCAGAGCAACGAGGGGATCCTTTGTCTCTTTGTTGTCGCGTGTTGATGGGCAGCCACCGTGAACGCCGCCGCCGCTGCGGCGGGCTGGCAAGCAAAGCCGCAGCGCCGCCCAAGATCAAGGCGCCGATTTGGGCTTTGAGGACTTTGAGATTCGGGGGCAGACTCCCGGCCGCGAGGGGCCGTATTCTGCTCGGCGCCAAATTTTCCCCTCTCGGCCCCCGGAAGGCCTCCACGCCACAGTTCCGTGCGCTCACGGGCCCGAACGGTTCGGCCCGTAAAGCTCCACGAGGCTGCTTTAAGTAGGCCAAACAAACTGAGCCGAAGCAGACGGCGCTCCGCCTGCCCTCCCCGATCCAAGTTCGCATAAACACACAGCGATACACTCCAGACAAATTCCCACCAGCCCAAAAAATGTACATTTGGACTCTCACACTTGGACTTACACACGAGCATCGGGGAAGCTTGTGTTTCTTGAGAGTACAACAAACTTCAGATGACCCGGCCGGCCGGGCCTTTACCCGTCGACGAAATACAATCCAAACATTCCCCCAAATGCACATGTCACAATTATTCCTCGACTGACAAATCACCTCTGGGGAGGCTTCGTGCTTCATGCTTCACTTCTGAGCTGCTTTGGGACTTAAAAATAATAAGACTGTGTGTCGGAAGCAACAAAAAAAAAAAAGGTAATAGACTATTAAGAGGATCATGGCATATTTCATGGTAAAATGTATTTTTTAATTTGATTTATTGGAAATGCGGGGATGACATTTGCCTTTTGCAAAGAGTCAACTTCAATTGTAAATCCGGGTCAAATGCACTCGGGTCATTCCGACCTCGCTTGATTCTCCGTGGTCGATATTGGATGCATACTTTAGCGGTCTACAAATGCGACGGCCTTTCAAATTTGGTTCGGAAATGTCTCCTGGACCTGTGTCACTTTGTCCTGTCTTTGACTTAGAATGAGTGCTTTTCAGGCTCATTCCCTTCAGCTTCCATCTTGGATATTCAACAGAGCTTTGCATCAACGTGTCATGTCAAGCGAGTGGCAAAAAACGAGCGATGATACACCGAAAGGGACTGATCAGAACATGTCCTTTTGCTTTCACACGTGACTCATCTTCACTCTCTGTTCTGATTTTGTCCCGTTTCAGAACAATCGGGGCAATCGGACAACTCAAACCAGCAAGGAGAGACGGACGTCAAGCCCCCGCCAAATGGTAACCATGCATTTGTACACTGATCTCACAGTTTCGTGATGAGTTGCACATGCTCGCGTCAACGGTTTCAAATGGCTGTCAGCACGGGCCCGTATAGATCCGAGCACACGCACCGTGCATGTTCTACACTTCGCTGGACATCGAGGCCTCTCGGAGAGCAAGTGCGTCCCAACAGAGTAGGGGAGGTTTATTATGGTAAGGAGAGCCGCTGGTACTGTAGTGTGGGGGGCTCGTGTGGGGATTGCGGCGGGCCACTCATAAATCACGCTGACGTTCGTCCAAGATGGGAACCACATGGCCGCCGCCGAGCTTAGCGCTGACCTCATACGCTGTCGCCGCCGCGGTTAACCCCGGCAGCGCTCGACTGAGCGGAGAGCGAGGGACGAGGGGGGCCGAAGGGAAACGGGGAAGGGGCTTGTCGTGAGGAGATAAACAACGGCAGGGAAAGCCAAGTGGCCGGCTGACGGATGGAAGGAAGAAATGAAAGCGGCCACATCACACGGCGCCGGCGATATCGGGACGTTGGGGCGAGATCGAAGCCTCCTCGTATGAAGAAGTGCCGTTCGAGAGCGCTTCCAATCGCAACTCCAATTGCGCCCGGTTGAGTGCGAGCATCCGCTGTTAACAGAAGATCGTCGTTTGTATTGAGGAAGAAGAAAACCAGCACACGCGGCATCCGTACTTTGTCCGTTTCGGAGAGTTCGAATCGAACGCGTTTCTCATCCGAGTCGTTCTTTTCACTACTTTGTACTTCCCACGGTGCTAACATGAGTGAATTGTGTACTTTTACCAACTTTGCGGCACGCTAAAAACATACAATCACACGGTGTTTATTTCAAGAAGTGACTTTTTTTTTTTTTTTTTTTTAAATGCTGACAAATCTTGATTGTGTGGAGCCTCTGTATTTATTGGCTTGGCTTTTTCTTTCTTCTGACCTCGTCCTGGTCACTTCAGTATTCACTGCTGTGTTTTTGTCCTCACCGCAATGTCTTCAAAGTAAATCGTACCTCATGTCTGTCGGAGGAGCAGGCTAAGGAGGAAGGAAAAGCGCCGTTGTTCTTGACTGCTCGCGAGGGTCTCGTACTTGCTCGATAACGCACGCTTGCTGCTGCGGCCTATGAGCTCATTCACTCCCAAAAACGTTTTTCAACGTCTTTTCAGACTTGGTCTAGAATTGGCTGGTACTGAATGAGTTAAACTGTTGGTGATCATCTCTCGCATGCAATCTGGCCATCATCATTTCTAATGCTATCGTAGTCCACGATAAGAATGAATTTCAGAAATCTGTTATGGGTGGCTTTTGATAGGAGGAAAAAAAAAAAACAACAACAACAGATGTTTCTAGCTTCTTGTGAATTCAATTTGCGGATGCACTTTTGCCGTTTAGCAGCAACGCCAACAAAGGAGTAGCGCGTCTACCAAATTCACAACTGAACCGAAAATGAGGCCGCGGCCGTTATTACGCCGAGCGCCCGTTTGTATGCCGGCTGCGCATGCGCCAGACGACCGAAATGTCTTTTTTTCCGCGTATGTCCATCCGCGCATCTCGGTCTACGACGTGCCACGCGGCCCCCTCTCACTCACTCACTCACTCTGCTTTCTGCACAGGCCACTTGAGTTTCCAGGACTGCTTCGTGACTTCAGGGGTGTGGAACGTAGCCGAGCTGGTCCGCGTGTCACAGAGTGAGTCACGACTATAATTCAGCCTGTCAGTCCCTCCAGAAAGACACGCAGTTCCTATCATTGGTCGCACACTGCACTATATCCACTGAAACACCCTTGCGGCCGAGCGAACAAAAGCAGCCGCTCTCTTTACAACAACTGGTAAAAATTTGGAGGAGGGGAGTAATGCACATTTATGACATAAATTACAGTTTTTGGTCGAGCTCGCTAACCGGTTTCAGATGTTTATCCAAAACCCGATATAACTCGTTCCATTCCTTTGCTCCGCTCGCCGCCCCGCGCTCTTGAACTGGGTGCTACGCTGAAAACCGATCCAATCATAACACCGCGCGTTCCGAAGAGGAGCTCGCTCCGAATGGCAAACAACCGCTTTGAGTCACAATGATGTGCGGTGAGAAAAAGGAGCGTCGTTGTCAGATGCAAGCGCGGGAAAAAAAAAAAAGGTGCTCTCGTCCCACATTCGAGCTGCTTGCTGCTCTGACGAGAAAAAAACAACGCATGGAGATTTGGTCTTGGACTCGGAGCCCCCGCGACCATCCCGAGGTGGCCTTCGGCGAGATAGCGACACCCCCCCGGTCGCTCTTGACGCCGCGCATCAATCGATGAATGCGGAGACGCTTTTTGAGTGCCTCCAAGGTGGAAAAGTGCTCAACCAGTAAAAGTCTGTTTCGCCAAGAAGATCGGTTGAAAGCCGCACTCAGCTCCTCGCTGACGAGAAACGTTTATGATCTGGCTTCTTACCCAGAGCGAAATTGTTCCTTTCGTCATCTTAAAAATATTGTCCGCCATCACAAATGGAAAAAAATACTGACGTCCGTATCGAGCGTTTCTCATGAGCTGCTTTGACATTTGATCTGTGCGCTGGCATTCCGCAGCCCCGGTCGCGACGGCGACCGGCCCGAGCTTCTCCCTGGCCGACTTGGACAGTCCTGGATACTACAACATCAACCAGGTCACCCTGGGACGGCGCTCCATCACCTCCACTCCTTCCACCAGGTAACCGATGGGTGCTCTCACACACACACACACACACACACACACACACACACACACACACAGACACGCGCGCGCGCAAATTATAAAACTGACAGCCACAATATTGTTGGCACAACCGCCGGATGAGATGCAATGAGAAATGTAGACGCAAAAATACAAAACTCTTTTTTTTTGCCTCGTTGTCTCTTTATTACATTGAACAGTTCAAGTCGAGGGTATTTTGAAAGCACTTTCAAACAATCGCCGCTGTATGCAAAGTGCTGTGCATGGACGAGAAACGTTTATGATCTGGCTTCTTACCCAGAGCGAAATTGTTCCTTTCGTCATCTTAAAAATATTGTCCGCCATCACAAATGGAAAAAAATACTGACGTCCGTATCGAGCGTTTCTCATGAGCTGCTTTGACATTTGATCTGTGCGCTGGCATTCCGCAGCCCCGGTCGCGACGGCGACCGGCCCGAGCTTCTCCCTGGCCGACTTGGACAGTCCTGGATACTACAACATCAACCAGGTCACCCTGGGACGGCGCTCCATCACCTCCACTCCTTCCACCAGGTAACCGATGGGTGCTCTCACACACACACACACACACACACACACACACACACACACACAGACACGCGCGCGCGCAAATTATAAAACTGACAGCCACAATATTGTTGGCACAACCGCCGGATGAGATGCAATGAGAAATGTAGACGCAAAAATACAAAACTCTTTTTTTTTGCCTCGTTGTCTCTTTATTACATTGAACAGTTCAAGTCGAGGGTATTTTGAAAGCACTTTCAAACAATCGCCGCTGTATGCAAAGTGCTGTGCATGGAGCAAAAAGAATTCATACGACAGAAAACGAGAAAACAATCGAGTCGGAACGAAGATGGTCGAAAAGCACAAAAACAGCCTCAGCAACAATCAAGTCAAAAAAGTCAAAGAATCCAAATGAGTTTGAAGGCCACTTTCGTTCCAACGGAAAAGTCTCCTTCCATGCCAAGTTCTTGGCACCTCGACGAGTGTCTGATCCGCAGACCCGAGGCAGCGTGCAGGTTTAAGATCAGGAGCCGGGGGGGCCCCCAAGTCTGCAGGATGGGATGTGCGAGGTCCTCTGGGAACCAAACACCATCACTTCCGTCATTGAAGTTCAAGACATTTTGGGCCATCCGGGTCTTGATTTCCTCCAGATAGAATAAAATTAGCAACTCCAGAGAAGGCGTCTTTTTTCCTCACAACCCCGAGGGGGAAAAAAACCAAAATATGATCGATTCGATATTATCGTGCCAATATCTGTTCCTGTTATTTCTGTAAAAAGAATTCTTCCGTACTTTTGTATGAAATCTCATTGGACCGAACCTTGTGAGCGCAGCGCACGCCGGTACGCAAACACCTTCAAGCGTATGGATCGATCGATCGTCAGCATTTCCGAATTGTGCGACATGTGAATTCTGCTGTACTCTTGTGCCGAGCTTGTTTCCGCTTTTTCAATTGTGCTTTCTCCTCCCCGTTGTTCCTCCTTCATCATTAATCCTTCTCATTTCCTTTCATTCCACCGACCGATTCCATCCGTCATTCCGTCTGCTGTTTGGCTGTCTGTTTTTCCTCGTCCTCTCCCGCTCATCTTACGCTGCAGGACCGAAATGGAGCTTTATGCAAGTCTCCCACGGAGGTACACTCACCACAGCATATCTCCCTTGATACTAATGGAACACAGATCCCTTCTTCGCACTCGTACAAAAGCCAAGCGAGCTGTCACACGCGCACGATTTGAAGCGCTCGTGCACTTTCTGCCCCTCGTATTTTTATTGTTGGCAGATGTGCGAGCCGATAAGAATGTGCGGTCACATGCGGAATGCGTCCCCGGCCGGCATCGCATAAGCTCGTCGTGTGTTTGGTTTCACGTGGTCGGGGCGAAAGGCGATACGGCATGTTGATTCAAAATCGGGACTCGCATGACTTGGCATGAAGTTGAACTTGAGCGTGGGTCATCGATACCGTACTTCGCCGCCAGCGGGCCAAGTATGCCTCGAGCGCAACGAAGACTCAAAGCGACCTCATCCGTCCGTCTTCCTCCTCAGCTCTAACAAGCGCAAGTCCATCGACGACAGTGAGATGGAGAGCCCGGTGGACGACGTCTTCTACTCGGGCCGTTCGCCGGCAGCCGGCAGCAGCTCGCAATCCAGCGGTTGGCCCAACGACGTCGATGCAGGTAATCCATCCTCGTCCCTTGACCGGATGTCGCTTCGTCGCGCTTTTGACATGAGGCCCACTTCAAGTCAGATCACGGTCGCGATGTCCGAATGATTTCATTCCAACGTGAAAAGACCATCGATCGTTGGATTTGAGACGGCGGCGTTTCCTCTGTCTTCTTGTGTGACAAGAATTTTTTGCTTTCAAATGGCCTGGCCAGAGCCACGACCTAAACCAATTGAAACTCTTTGGAGAAGAAAAGAAAAGGGGCAGTACAAGCTGACGGGTTTGCGGTAGTTTTGTTTTGAAAAACTGAATAGAATTGATCCGAAATGTGCCATTTACAAAAATCCAAAACGTTGTTTAAAATGGAAAAAACACAATCAAGATGGCTTCAACAAAGGATTCGTTGAAGGCTGTGCCTTCCAATAAAAAGAACTGACTTGAAGTGGACCAAAAACTTTCCCCATCCAAGCCTTTGGCGCACCGTTGACACTCCCAACTTGATTTTCCGACTCCTGCCTGATTTGGGTGATCTTTATGAGTCTGCTTCAGTCACATGCTGACAAAGACTCCAGTCCCGCCCGTGTCTGCCGCTGTGCCGCAGGATAGTTATGCCCAACGACTTCTTTTCTTTTTTTTCAGTGCAGCAGGCAATTGCGATTCAATTGCAAATCTTTTGTCGTGCGCTTACTCGTCTTTTCAACTACAGTAATGGTACTTTTTGGGGTTTTTTTTGTTATGTTGGATGTTCGATTTTTTGAATAGATTTCTTCATCCGGTGGTTTTGGGAGTCCCGAAAGTAGACACCAAGAGTGACAACTAAGCGTCGGTCATATTTTTCATCTTCGTTTTCTTGTTGATGCATCAAAACGGACTCAATGTCCAGCTAAGTTATTTTAGCCTTTTTCAAAATGCTGTTTTTGTTTTGTTTTGTCACTCCCGCTCGCACGGCGCCGTTGCAGTATCAGCGCGGCAGCGAAGACGCTGCACCCTATCGCGTAAATCCCCTTAATGTCCATGATTTAACCACCACCTCTCTTTCTCCCCCCTCTCACTCTTTCCATCTGTTTCCTTTTCCGTCCACTTCTCTCCTCCCCGTCTTCCACTGTTAACTCTTCCCTTTCTCCCCTGTTTGGCCTTTCAGTGCAGCACCATTTGGCCAGTGTGCAGGAGAGGAAGATTAAGCATGAGAGCGATGGAGTGCAGTTTCCTTACCATGGTTAGAGCAACATTAAACATTCTACTGTGTCCATGTTCCTCTTCATGTGTGTGTGCTCTCCTCGGGCTGGCGCCGCCGTCACCTTGCATCATTCTCTCTTTTCTTTGATGACATTTCTCTGTGAGCGCTTCTCTCGTCCTTCCTCTTCATCGCCGGTGTGTCTCGTTTTCTGGCTCCGTTGCCGCCGGCCGGGTGGGGTCAATTTTGTCTGCTGTTGTCCTCCGCGGATTTAGCAAAGCCTCTTGGTTGGCCGCTATCTTAGCGGTCAGCGCCCGTCTTTCTGTCTGAGTGGCATCCGGGGGGATAAAAAAACAAACAAACAAACAAACAAACACCAGTGCACTAAAAGCCATCACATTTACTGACTATTAAAAAGCAAACCTGACTGTATTAAATTTAAGATCGGGAGTTGCACACGACTAGCTCGGTTGTCTTTAACCCATTTAATCCCAACGGTCACATTTGTGAAGGACAACAATGATTTAATTTACAGGGCTCTAAAGTGTTTTATTACTGATTACTTAAAAGGGGCTCACAATGACACCTGATTTAGACTTTTAAATGTCTGGGAAAAAATTGGGATTAAATGGGTTACTGACCTGTAAATTTAAAAAAAAATAAATAAATAAAAGCATCATCTAATGTCTGATCGTATGGATACAAACACACCCACAGTATACTGCGCATGTAGCTGCCGTTAGCTCAAACAAACATCGGTGGCCAAAGATCGAAGCACGCCACCGTGCATCTTGAGTGATGTGCAAAAAAAAAGAGGTCGCTTCCAAGTTGTCAACGAGATGAGGCTCGGTGCTTTGGCTGTTTTGAGAGCTGTTGAACGAGAGCGTTTGGGACTCTCCTGCTCTTGATTGTCGAAACAGAACCGTGGAAGGGTGTTCCCACCTGCCGCAGACCCGCCTCTGAGCGATGGCACATGACCCGAACCAAATACGAGTAAAGGCCCCCCAGATGTATCATCAATGGGTGGGATGCCTTCTGTCTCCGAGGCAGCTTTTTTTTTTTTTTTTTTTTTTTTGTCGCCGTTGTGCGCCTTGACAAAAGGCGCGCTCGCGCACGTGCAAAACCGTGATTTTATCACACTCTCTTTCCGTGACATCCACTCACACATCCACACTGGCCAATCTGGAGAGGGGCTGCGTTCCAGTCCAGATGGTGGCTCCATGTGTCTGCAGTGAAGGGAGCTACTGGGTTACAGCAGACATCTGCTCTGGTGGTGGCGGTGACGGTGTTGAGAGTGATGGAGGGCTGGAGGACGGGTGGGGTGGGGCCTTGAGGGGAAGGACTGGGCCTGCTCTCGAGGTACCGCTCAACCTGAATGAAAAGCTCGGAAGCTTAGCAGGTGATCATGCGATTCATCATGACTTTCTCTCTCTCTCTCTCTCTCTCTCTCTCTGTCTCGCTCTCTCCGCCCGCTTTGCCTCCGCAGTGGTGGGAAAATCTTTAAATGCTGCTCAACTGTTGTGTAAAAATATTTGTGGCATTTGACAATTGTGTTGGGATGTCTGCATGTGGTCATGGTGTCCTTACGTTGCCTCAAGTGCGGTCCCTTGGTTGCCATTTAAGAGTGCCGATGATGTGTTAGCTAGTCAGCTAATCAGGGACGCTCTTTTTTTTTTCCCCCCTTGCAAATCTGAGTGAGTGTTTGTGAAGTACCTTTCTGCTATTCTTGCACTTATGTGTGTGCGCGCTAAGCACCTGTACTGCGACAGTCGGAGGCTTGTGTGGTTGCCAGCCTGTTGACATGTCGCACTCCAATAGAGATTGGTCAGTACCGATGCAGCCTGGACCTACAAGTATTCGAGCACTGGAGCTGAATAGAGAGAGACACATCCCCAGGAAAGCTTTTTTTGAGGGGTGGGGGGGTGAGAAAATGTGTCTCGCTCAAACTACTTTTGCCAGGCTGCGATTCGTCGTCGTTAGCACCCACATCTTTGTTTCATTCGATGAGAAGATTTGATTTTGTGACGAGTTTGTGAAATGGAATGATTGTCCTCTGAAGCAAATGCCATAAAAGCCAAACATGATCATAGTATGCCGCTGGAGAAAAAAAAACACCAAAATGCATCCCCTTCTGTACTTTTACTTCCCAACTGCTGTCCGGCTTTGCGGATTGTTGTATCCAGAACTTTATTTCCACTTGATGTCAACGCTGCGGGGTGCTCTGCAGAGGTCAACTACGGCCTTTGGGTTTGGCCCTCAAAGCTTGAAATGCGAAATTGCTCCCTTCTGCAATCCAAAAAAAAAAAAATTCCCTCGGTGCTGGCCACAAGAGGCTTGGAACACATCATCAACCGTAGCGCTCGCACTTTGGGCCCTTTTTCTGGTCCATTGGTGAGCTGGGCCTGTACTGAGCATACCCTTTTTTTTTTAAAATCAAAATGACGGATGTTTCATCCAGGTCTCCCACCTCAGCCGACGTTTATAGACAGGGTGGGTGGGGGACACTTGAATATATTTGTACACGGCCGGTTTCGAAAATCCTTCTCGCGTCCATCTGCAGCCTTCTTCCAGCCTTCCGTGGCACCCTGCCCGGTGCTCACCACCCTGCCTCAACAGCCTGTCTGTGTGCGTGTGCGTGCGCATGTGCGGTGTCACTTGAACATGATCCATCATGTCTTTAAGCGGCATTATAAAATGCCGGATAGAATTGAAAAGTCTCTGCTGTTGCCTCGCTCGGTCCCGCCGGCCAACCCGAATCTCATTCATTCATTTCGAGAGGCTAAATGTAGCTGCTGCTTGTGTCGTGTGTTTCCGTGCGTCTCTTTGCCGTGGGTGGAGCTTGACTCTGGGAGGTTGTCGAGGTTCAGGATGAGTCATCAGATTGGCTTTGGCCGCGCTAGTCGTAATGTTCGGTCGCCACGACAATTCCCAGCTCTCCCGTCTCCTGATACTCTGCGCCCAGTCACGATCCTCGCCCTCCCCGTCACTTCCCTTTTTTTTTTTTTTTTTTTTTTTACGCTGACCGCTTCAAACGTGGCCTCTCACCAAACCCCGCCCCCGCATCCCACGCCCAATTTTGACAGCGGGGCGACAGCTCGCCAACCGTACACAACTATGGACAGTGAGTGTCGTCGAGCCATCGGTCTGTGGAGCCACTCGACTAAATCAACGATGATTCAAATGACCTCACATTGATTTCAGTCAATCGTAATCTTTTGATTCTCGCAATCAAATTCAAGCGACACTTTTTTTTTTTTTTTTAATAGAGTCAAAGTCAGCACCGCAGCCATGTTTCATTAAAACCTCGTCTCTGTTCTGCCATTTTGTTGATCCCCTTTTTTTACCAGGACTGTCATCGCCTGGTTCTCTTAAGAAGCCGGGGAAATTCGATTTCAGCGCCCTGTCCTCCCAGACGAGGTCCCCCCGCATGGCGTTCACCCACCACCCACTGCCAATGCTGGCGGGAGTGAGACCAGGTGAGACCAACCCAGCTCCAGACCCTTAATCGCTCCCACCCTCCTCCTTATCCTCATACTCACTCCCACCACTTGAGCCCCACCCCCAAAAGCAAGAGCGGGAGCAGTGGTTCGAGGGAAATGAGAGCGGCTGGGAATTTCGGATCTGGCAGGTAGCTCTTCTGCGCTTGGCTCCGCCTCCTCGTCTGTCTCTTCTAATATCGGAGGGTGCCCGACAAACTGGTGGCAGCTCTGGGCATTCTGGGCCTGTGCCTTTCCTGTGTTTCTCTGTCGGTAGATGGTGGTGGGGGGGCAAACGATTTGCCTCGATGCCTACTCAAGCGCTTGAGCTCCCTCTTGCGGTCTTGCCTGATTGCCTCGCATTGGAGTCAATGTAAAACGATGTGGCCAGCGTACAGCTCGCGGTACCGGAATCGAGCGCCGCGCCTCTGCGCTGTGAGCCCGACGTGGCGCCCCAGTTAGAATCATTGTTAACAAAAGGAACAGAGATGTTTGACGCAAATGCGGACTTCTTGGGGACTGCTGTTTGTCTTTTAGCGTGAAAAACCCTCGGGCCCATCTGCCCGTCAGATGTCAAGTGTTTGCTTCCCAAATGTAAGCCTCGTAGCTTACGTTCAACCATTTTCATAATTGGTTCGACTCACGGGTTATGAATGGGCCATTGAGTGGGAATTATGCCAGCTGTGCGAAAGTCGGCATCAAGCATTTAAACCACTCGATGAGCAATGACATCCTCGACTTTGAAAAATAGATCAATGTGTGTGTGTGTGTGTGTGTGTGTGTGTGTGTGTGTGTGTGTGTGTGTGTGTGTGTGTTTCTATCTGAAAACCGGATGGATATAGATACATTGCGCATATCTACTAATCATCCTCAGTCAACTAAAGATGAGTGCTTACGTCAAGTCGCTAGTTGCTAAACATTTCAACCCCAGAAAATGGCTGCCGTTGCCATGGATGTCGCGTCATGTGACACTTTCACTGGTTATCGACTTTCTTTCCACTCAATGGATCATCGCTTACTATATTGATGAATGTGCCTTTGTTTTTTTTTTTGTTTTGTTTTGTTTTTTTTTTCGAATCACCGATTGATCAAGTGATCCAGCGATCTCATCTGTTTTATTGAGGACTGGCAAAAGCAAAAGAATATCACTTGGAGCGAAATGCTTTGTGAACCAGCTGCTCGTCCCTCACGCTGAAGCAAGAAGCTCGTGATAACGGCAGATATCAAACAAAGCCAAACCAGTCCAGACAATAAATTGCAGCTCTCCTCATTTTATCGCCACAGCGCAGATAAAGCGGCTGGGGGAGGGTCTTCATCTATTTGGAAAGGGGACGAGTGTGAATCCAGCCAAAGACGAAGCTGTCTGCAAATAATTGTCCAGGAGCTTTTTATTTTGTGTGTGTGTGTGTGTGTGTAGTTTGGGTACATTAAAGGCTTATCAAGCCATCCATCCAATTTGACGCGATGAGGTCGCTCATTAACTGCCGATGGGCCGCAGCTCCGGCAAATCCGCTCCATCGCGTATACCAGGGGTGTCCAAACGACAGACCGGGGGCCGTTTGCTGCCCGCCATCCATTTTTCAGCGGCCTGTTCAAATTTGCAGACATGAATTATATGCGAAGTATTGTTTGTCGTCTTCAATCCGGTGCTGTTTCCATGCAGAGGTAACGCTTCAACAACATCATCGTCGTCGTCGTTTTTTGTTGTTGTTGTTTTTTTTTTTTCTTCATGAAAGACATGCCCCAAAGGGTTCTACGGAGACGTAGAAGTGGGATTGAGAAGCACATTCGAGCCATCCTCCCACGGCACTCCTTCTGCAAGGTGCTGCTCCCCCCCCCCTCACCCCCATTCAGATGAGTAGAAGGGCGGAGGACCCAAAGTCTATCCTGTCATCATCACCCCTACCGCCATAAACCTTTTTCCCAACCCACCCCCTTCGACTCCCAGATAGTTTGGCCTTCACCCAGCCCTTAATGGGATTAACAGGGGGACGATAGGAACAGGGAGGCGGCGCCGATGGGGTGCGGGCAGCCTGGCATGGGTGCACAGTGTCGCTGGGCTCAGAGGAAGAGAGGCCCCCCTTTCTGGGGGGCAATGCAGCGGGGTTGGCACTCTCACGAAGTACACTCAGGCGCACAATGTATAAGACATAAGTAGGAGAAGTGTTGGCAGCCTCACGTGGGCAGCTGTCGGCTTGGATGGGGCGGGGGGGTCAGACCGGCGCAGTTAAGGGAAGGATGGGGCTCCCGTATAAATCAAGTCGATTTAGGAATGGAGATCTCGCTCTGACAGAGGGAGGCTTTGTCTATTTGGAGACAGCCTATTTGGAAGTGTACATGAATGATTTGACTTTTATCATAAACAACAACAACAAAAAAAAAACAACAACAAAAAAAAGAAAAAAGAAATGAGTCAGATCAAATATTGCTCTCGGATCTCATTGGCCAAGTTGCACCGATGCCAATGAATCACAGGCTCAATACAGCTCATTGGCGCGCGGACATTAACAACTGCTAATTTAAGACCCCAGTCAATGATCACTTTGTGTATTTGCTTTTTTTTTTTTTTACAAGCTCTGCGGGTCTAATTCTGAATGTGTGGACGTTTTGGTTTTCTGCTTGTGTGAACCATGTATGACTTTGAAACTTGCTGACTAAAAGATGTGTGTGTGTGTGTGTGTGTGTGTGTGTGTGTGTGTGTGTGTGTGTGTGTGCGTGTGCGTGTTAGCATCCACATAAGAAAAGCAGCATGTGTTGTGTGTGCATTTGAGAGAGCGAGAGAGAGAGAGAGAGCGCCGTCCTCTGTAAAGCCTTCTAGAATCACTGGAGTGATCCTAAAACTTTGCGAGCATTGACCATCGCTGTGAACCTCAATGAACAGCTTTTCATGGGGAAAACAAGCTTTGCATTTTTAGATTTGCACTGAAACTTGAACGATTCCTGTTGGGATGCGGTCATCGTGCAGGCATGATTCACACGGTTGATCTTTGCGATCTGTAAGAATGAGCGCGAGCCGCCGCCTGTCCCTTGTTGGGCTCCCCCCGCACGCACGCACGCACGCACGCACTGGTGTAACGCAAAGCTCTCCGTCCGCAGGGAGTCCCCGTGCTTCTGCCTCGGCCCTGCACTTCCCGTCTCCCTCCATCATCCAGCAGTCGAGCCCCTACTTCACCCACCCGACCATCCGCTATCACCACCACCCTGGACAGGATCCTTTGAAGGAGTTTGTGCAGTTTGTCTGCGCCGATGGCCCGGGGCAGGCCGGCGGACAGGTAAGCTTCCTCGCCTCTACCCCGACCTGAAGAACTCGAACTCTCCGTGGAGTGCGGCTCAATTACACGTCACCAAAATAAGTCGTCGATGTCGTCAAAAGTTGTTTTCGATGAACGACTGTGAGTCGTCATGACAGTGAAAACAGACGGGAACGGCGATTTGTTTTCGAATCTGCCGGCATCATTCGGGTCTTCATCTTAAAACGGGAGAATGAACACATTCCACCGCATGCCTTGTTTACGAGGTCATGGGTCAAATCAAAGTCATTTTCATTTTGCCGTTTGCTGATTTCAACAAAGGCATTCCCAATATTTTGGGGGGGAGGGGGGGTTCCCTTTGGCTCCACCCACTTTGCGGCCATCAGTACACTGACGGTCACTCACGATACATGCGTCGTCCAGCATATCAGTCCCGTGTTGTCTTTTTGTTTCCATCTCTGGTTGTGGTTGCCCTTTTAGTTGGACTTTGGTTCTTTGGTCCTGGTCCTGTTGATGGTGCTGTTGTTGTGTCCAAGCGTAGTCTCTCATGGTTTTGATTTCTTGCCATCTTCTGGATGAATGGCGCTCAATAATTTGCTCGCTGACCTCTTCCACACCTCCTCCACCCACCATGGACCACCCCCCGTGGAACCTTTCACGTCCAGCTCCCGCTCCTATCAAACCCAACTATTATTTTTCACCCCTCCATTAAGGATGCCGTCCACATCCGTCATCCCTTTGGTTGTTGTATCCACCACCTTCCTCTCCCTCCTTCCACCATCGCCTGCCTCTACCCTCCCCCCACCTCCGTCATGGATTTTTTTTGGGGGGGGAGGGGGGGCGGGG